TTTCAGAAAGGGAGGAAGAAAAGGACGGGGTTGTGGAGCGGGAGGGCAGGGCTGGAACACCAGTGGGTGAACAGAAGGGAAAAGGGAGGGATGGGCAGCAGGTTGGGTGTGTGGGATCTGAGCAACTCCAAAGGGCTCCCAGCAGCTGTGGCCCAGCACTGAGACCCTGCAGCACTGACACAGCCTCACAGCAGCACCAGGTGAGGCAGAGGAGAGCTGGAGCCAGTGGAACAGGATGGTCCTGCCTCAGGCAGAGCCCTCTGCTTGGCTCCAGGGCTCCTCTGGGCAGAATTCACTCACCCCCACTGCCCCTCAGAGAAAAACACTGGTGAAACAGGAAGATATGCGAGCTCATGACATGATTTCCTCTCTGAGGGGCAGGAAATCATCAGTGAGCATTAATCCTGCCTGCCCTGGGGTTGAGGAGAGCAGCCAGCAGTGGCTCCTGCCAGGAGCAAGTGCAGATGTGCGAGTGACAGCAGAGCCACAGCTCATCCCTTCCTCCACCTGAGCAGCATCCCTGGCACCTGGGCCAGGCCAGGGGAGGACAGCTGGCCCTTGGCTCCTGCCAGGAATTCACTTTTCCTTTCTTTGACAGAGAGCTATTCATTGCTCAGGGATGTGCTGAACAGAGGCGTGGGCTCCGAGTGGCTCCTGCTGTGGCCTCGCTGGGCTCTCGGGGCTCAGCCCCCGCCAGCCCCTCTCCCTGCAGAGCCTCCCACCCTCGGCTCAGGTGCTCCGAGGCGGCTGCTTTATCCATGCTAATGACATTTATTTTCTCCTCAGTGCCTCGGGGAGGGCTCTTTCTCTCGCCCTCCCTGCTGATGTGAATCCTGCTGCCCTATTATGCTGATCTGAGACTTTTTTTAAAGTGTTGAAGTGCTGGTGAGCTGCCCTGCATCCCCTATCTGTGCCCCCCAGCTTGCTCTTCCTTCAGCCATTTCCCAGGTTTGATCCCACCACACTGAAATAACGAGCAAACCCCATCACATTTCCAGGTTGGATCGAGTGTCTCCCCTGGCTAGGACAGGCTGAGCCTTAGTTTTGGAGTTTTGGTAAGTTCCCTCTAAAACACCCTTCAGAAAAGACAATTACCACAGTGCCATTAAAGCTTTCACCAGATAAGTCGCTGGGAGCCTTTTGAAATAACCTTTAAACAATAGATCCTGTCTTGTTTACTGAATGTTTCTGAACTCAGCAGTAATGCATCCAGATGTCACCCCTGCCTACCGTAGGCCTAACTATTTCTGGAAACACACCAAAGGCAAATTGCTTGGATAATGTCAGATATTGTTGCAAAAAGAATATGACAAGTTTCCATCTCCTTGATAAAAGCTGTGGAGCAGAGAGTTATTTCCCAGGGCAGCAGAGCCCCGTGTACCTTCGACTCAGCCCCGTGTAGGAGCTGCATCCCTCCCTCCTCCAGCTCATGCACAGGTGGACAATGGCACGTGTTTTCCAGCTTCCAGCTCAGGAAAATACCTGTGCTGCTGTCCAGAGCAGCTCAGCACACTCACAACATCCACCATGGGGATTCTGTGGCTGCAGGTGGGTTTTGTCCTGCAGGAGGGAGATGGGGGAGAAGTGCTGGGGATGGTGATGCTGCCCTGGTGATGCCTCAGCTCGTCTTGTGGCATTATTGGGAGTGGAGTTAAATGTCAGCTCTGAGCCGTCACGGGGGATTGTTCAATGAGCAGAGAAAACTGCTGAAGTGAGAGGGTGACAGAACTCACCAGCCCCTGGCTCATGTCCTGTCTCCACCTCCTGTCCTGCCAAGGGGAGCTCACGCTGAGGGAGGTGTTAGACCCAACATTGTCCCTGCTGATGCTCAGCTCCCGAGAGAAATCTGTACTCTTGGGCACATAGGATGGGATAAAATCACCATTGCTGCTCTTCTGGCCTAAATCAAGTCCTGTCTTTCCTCAGTGATGCCTCTGACACCTTGAGAACCACATCTCCATGGAGTCTGGTCCTCCTGCTGCTGCCCTGAGCTGCTATTAATGGGTCAAGGCTGTTATTAACCTTTCCAGGGACAAAGAGGTCCAGGGATATTTCAAAGTATTATTCTGACCTTTAATTTTGTTCCTCAGCCTTTCCAGCTGCCCTCTGCCCAGGGCTGCTCTAGCAGGTTCCTGAGGTCCCAGTCCTGTCTGGGTTGGTCCTGGCTGTGAGCTGAGGGTGGCTGAAAGGTCTGGAGAGGGTCAGAGTCCATCACCCAGCTGTCTGTCCATCACCCCTCTGCCCATCTGCACTGCTGGGATAAAGGCTGTTTGCTCAGGCAAAGGGGGAACCAATCCTACCGTAAGGAGAGAAGGAGATAACACACAACGACCTGGGAGAAAACACAATTTAGACAGGGAATGAGCTGCAACTCCAACCCCAACAGCTGCCACCTCTGCTCCATCCCTTCCCTGCACCTCTTCAATGTCACAAGTTGCATCCCCAGCTCTGGCTGCAGGAGCCCTGCCAGCATGCAGCACCTCTTTCCTGGCCATGTCCTTGTCCATATCCATGACAACACGACACACAGGTACCCAAACACGCTGAGTGACAAGGGACACAGCCACCTCTGCTTCTTCCACCAGCACTGCGCAGCCAGAGTGGAAAATCTGAGTCAGGCAAATCCCTTAGAGCTTGGCCAGCTGCAAAACCCCTCCTTGCCCCACGTGCTGGGCACTGAGGACACATCCTGATGTCCCAAAGGTCGGTGGCACAGACGGTGCCAGGCTGTGAGGATGCAGCGAAGCTCTGTGGGTGGCATATGAATGCCTGAGGGAATTGAGCACCTCTATCTCTTTGAATCTGGCACCCAGCAAAACTTTTGAAGATCCTAAAGGGGTGCTGAGGAATGGCTGTAGGGTCAGGGGTGTTCTTCAGCTTCAGAGTGGGAAGCTGAAAGAAGAATTTAGAAAGGCTTGGGTCAAGAAACCGTGGGCAGAACACGTTCTCCTCAGAGAGCAAAGCCCCCGTGTCAAACCTCCAGGCTTGACTCTCGTGTCACCTCCACGAGGTTTTAGGGACTGCCACAGACTCAATGGAAAAAGGGTCAGGAGATGTGACAGCCAGACCCGTCTACCAGGCTGTGCTGGAAAACAGCAATGAACACAGCAAGGACACAACCAGGAGCCACAGCACTGGTGATGTTCTGCAACTCCTGTGCCCAGGTAGGCACAGGTATTTCAGAGCTGCCAATAAAACAGAAAGGAACAGAGGCTGTTTCCTTCCTTCCCCTCAAATCCCCACATCCTTTCTGAACAAGAACCAATGTACTGCAGGGTGATAAATCAACATCAGCAGCTTTGCAGGGGATTTTGTTGAAGTTCTTTATCTCTCCTGAGCACCATCACCATTCCTTAAGAGGTCCTGTCATCGTTCTGCACAGAAATCCTGACATGCAGAGGAAGGAGGTTACACTTCTAATTACAGCTGCATGGTCTTTAAGGTGTTTAAAATCTCTTTTCACCAACTGACAGCCCCTAATGCACCTTTCTGCTCGTTTCAGGCAAGAAGAAAATCAACCACAGAGACTGCAGAGAACCTCCAGTTATTCACAAGCCACTGCAATGGGGCAAGAGCCTCAGTACAGGTGTGGGATAGTTCAGGCACTCACTTCATGCACAATTCGTGTCAACTGCTTTCCCTCACAGCGCTAAAATTTAGATGCTTCCTCAGCGGAGACAAGATGTGATGACTAAAAATCCCATCCTACTGGGTACTTTTGCTCAAATGAAGTCACCATCTGCACTCTAAAAATTGGGATAACCCGCCAGGTTCCCTAAAATGACAGCTATACCTCATGACCGACTGAAGTGCAGAGTTTTCCCGTTTAGGTTTTGTGCTGATTTCGCTGCTCGTTTCAGGCTGGAAGACAATCTGTTGAACCTCAAAGTGCCATCTTCTCTTACCTTGAATTTATTCTGCCAGAAAGCTGTCTACCTTAATGAGTATGAGCACACCCCCACTACCTCCCAAGTTTGGTGATCTGTTATGTCAAATATAAATAATCCTGTCTGAGAGCGGTCGATATGGGGAAATGAAAAGCCATCTTCCCTTGGGGGATTTCTCTCTCCCTCCCACAGCCCCCCTGAGCCCTCAGGCTACCTTTAATGTGCTGAACAACATCCGTGTGGCTCTGAGAGCACAGACCTTGATGGCTGCTGGATTCAGAGTGACAAAAACAACCCACAGGTGACTGTGCCATCGCCTTCCTCCCTTACATTCTGCCCTGGATCCCTCTCCATCACCACTGCTCTGCTGAGCATGAGTTAATGGGATGGTTTGCTACCTAACCCAGGACTGGGGTGTCCTACAAACTCATTGGGATGGAGAGGGGCATTCTGATGGCCTTTGGGGCCAGCACATAAGGTGGAAACAAAGTGAATCACATGGCTCCAGGTGAGATGTCCAGAACACGAAGAGAGGCCGGTTCCAGTCCCACACTGAGCGTGCAAAGGGGACCGAGGTGTCCCTGGGGCAGAGAAGGACACGACCTGCACACCCAGGAAAGGCATGGGATGGGGGCAGCCTTCCCAAAAGGTGCTTTCACGCCATCCTTCATAGGATTTGGAGCTATAGGATGAGGGAAAACCGAGCCTGGAGCACGCCGGTATTTCCCATGCAGGTCTGAGCTCGCCGGTCCCTCCGGGCAGGCTATGGGGGAGAGGATGCCGTGCACTTCTCCATGTCCTCCTCATCCTGTCTCCCCCTCCAAATCCCTTCCCAGCCCCACTCCCTGCAGCCAGGGCTGTCCTGTGCCTGCCGTCCTCCTCGCAGGCATCCCCCGGGATGCGGGGCTCGCTGCCGTTTCCCCCGGAGCAGCGATCCCCGGCAGTTTCGGATGCACCGGGAAGCGGGCGGCGGGGGCGGGAGCGAAGCAAACAGGGAAAAAACACCGCGAGAGACCCCAGCGCTGGGAGAGACGGGGAGAAGGGACCCGGCAGAGCTGGGGGGGGGGGGTCCCACGGAACCCCCGCACCGGTGCCTTCTCCCGCTCCTCTTACCTTCACACGGGGGAATGGGGCCGGCTCGCTCAGGTGAGGACCGCGTCTCCCGAAGTCTCCCGCTCGGAGAGCATCAATACCAAAATAAACGGTTAAAAAAAAAAAAAAAAAATCTTAAAAATGAAACAACGATTAAAAAAAAAAATAAATTAAAAATTAAAAATAAGCGGCAGCAAGCAGGCTGAGGAGGCGGGCGGCAGCGGAGCAGGCAGCCGGCAGCAGCCACCCCTGTCGGCACATGGCCGGGCCGGCGGCTCTGCGGGGGCCGCTCCCGCCTCCCCGCCCCGCTCCCAGCGCTGCCGGGGCCGCCAATGACGGGCCGGGAGCGGGGCCGAACCCAGCGGCGGCCCCCGAGCCCCGCACGGCCCCCGAGCCCCGCACGGCCCCGCACGGGCAGCGCCCCGCAGCCCGGGATGCGGCGCTGCCGGAGGGATGCGGGGCTGCTCCCCCCACCCCACCCCGCTCCCAGCTCGGGATGCGGCCGCAGGGTCCCCGCCCCGGCGTGTGGGGATGCTCTGGATATTCCGGAGGGGCAGAGAGGGGCTCCCGACAGAGATGGGTTACCCCCAAAGAGAGAGGAGTTATCCTGTTATATCCCCAACAGAGTGGGGTCACCCCCTCTATACCCGAATCAACTCTCCCCAACACAGTGGGGTCGCCCCCTTTATACCCGGATCACCCCCAGCAGAGTGGGGTGACCTTCTCTATAGCCCAACAACGCCCCTACAGATTGGGGTCACCCTCTCTGTACTGGGATTACCCCCTTACAGAGCCATGTCACCCCTTTACAGAGCCATGTCACCTCCTTACAGAGCCGTGTCACCCCTTTACAGAGCTCTGTCCCCCTCTTGCAGAGCCGTGTCCCCCCCTTACAGAGCCGTGTCAGCCACCACGGAGCCAGGGAACGTTGGTTTGGACAACAGAGCTTCAGCCCCAGTGCTGGCAGAGGAAAAGAATCCCCCTCCCCATCCCCAGTGCAGGGATAAAGCCAAGGCAAAACCCACAGCAGCCCCTGTTTGATCCCACACGGCCCCCAGGGCATTTCTTAGGTGACATGAGCTTGTTCCCTGCTCTGTTTTTCAGCTGTGCTGGGGTTTCAGCTGGTTTTGGTTTTATAACAGAGCAGGGAATGTCTCTCCTCTTCCCAAATCCGTGCCCATTCCAGCACAACCTCAGCTCATCCACTGCTTTTTCCCAAAGTGGTGATTTTCAGCAGTGGTGATTCACAAGATTTCCTCAATGCTTGGGTAGTGATGGCCCTTCAAAGCTGGAAAACAAAATTCTGGACAAAACACGAATCCTAGAGGGGCATTACTGCTCTAGCAAGTGGACCAGCTGCAGAAGCACCACCACAGGTGACCTGGAGGTTGTCCCCATCCCCAAGGTGGTGTGACAGAGGAGCACGGATCGTCCCAGCCCTCCCTGAGCTCTGCAGTCCCTGCTCCCCGGGCTCCCTGCAGAGCTTCCCTGGGCACAGAGGATGCTCAGTGTGTCTCAGGACGTTCTGCCTCATCCCCTGCCACCATCCTTGGCTCTTGCCACCCAAGCTGTCCAACTGCTGGGGCAGCAGGGACCCTTCTGCAGGCCCCTGGATTGTCTCTGTCCATCGGGATGTGTGACTTTTGTCCTGCAGCATTCATTTCCCTGACACTGAAACTCATTCCCAAGAACTAACTTAATTTTTTCTCATCAGCAGTTCCAGCCTATTGATACTTTTCTGTCCCTCTCAACTGACTGGAATAATCAATGTTTTTATAGCACATCTGCCCTTTTGGAGATGGTATCGCTTGTAGCACTCCTTTAATCTATACAGAGGGAAACAGTTGCATTTAATTAATTCCTCCCCAAATAAACTGCTCACTGCCAGCAATCTGAGCACACTTTACACGCAGTTCAAAAGCCTGTGCAGAGATCTGAAAGGAAAAGCACTCACTGTGATGACAAGAAATGAAGGTGAGGGGAAAAAAACACCGTTTATCTTTAAAGAGTCTACTTAAGACTATAATTATTTAATTATTATATCAAATCACTTAATACTGAACTGCGTTGTGGTTGCTGTTGGGCTTTTTCTTCAAGGTTGCTTGAACCACGTGCAGAAGATATTGAAGGGCTGTGCTTAAAAAAAAAAAACCCAACCAATTTTAGCTTTTTATTACTTGTGCAGGTCAAACGTCATCGTCTGGCAATTTGTCACTGTATCCTTGCTCAGAAATATGAACAATGGAGGTTCTCTGCTTGGCCCATTCATTTTGGTTTCAATGCCTGGCCTCAGGTACTGCAATAAACATCCTCCTTGCTTCCCAGGGAGATGTCAAAGCAATTCTCACGGAGCTGAGCCCAGGCTAAGAAGCAAGGAAAAACAATGTTATAACAAGGACTTAGCAAATGCTTGGGCTGCCTTGTGCGAGTCCAGAGCTTGTTTTTTGGACTTGAACATGAGGTTTGCTTCCTCTAAGAGCAATTCTGGGAAGATCAGAATTCTGTGAAGGAGAAAAATGTTTTTATAATGTATTTCTGTCTTGCACTGATGTACAAGACCTCTATGGTAAGCACAGTCTGGCCGTGCCAGGGGCTGTGCAAACACTGATTCCCCAGACTTTGCAACAGAAATTTTTGCAGAAGGGAAGTGCTAATTAGCATCCACACTTTGGGAGCCAGTTGATAGCCTCGAGACCTGGCAGCTGGCCAGCCACAACTTTCATCAACCCCAACATTTGGGAAGTGTCCTATGCCTGCCAAGTCTGTGGGATAAACAGACCCAGCAGCAGCCAGGAGGCAAAACCATCGGTGGGTTTGAAGTGCAGTGCCCAGGTTGTGCTCACCTGCCTCCCTCCATCACCACCCGTGGGTTATTCCCAGCGTCAATCCTTCAGTGATTTTGTGCACTCTCACTCCTGCAGCCCCAAATTCTTGGTTTTTCTCCTTTGGCTCAGAACTTGGCATCAAACTGCCCAGGAATATTTTGTGATGTTCCCATCACTCAGCATGCAAGGCTGCTCGAAGGGTTTTCTGCCCCACCTCCAGCTTGCTCCATCCCCAGGGCAGGTTCCCCTTTGTTTTTCCTGACCCTGGAGGAATCTTCCAGCTGAGACTGATCCATGAGCACAACCCACAGCCAAACCTGGGCACTGCTGGGAGCAGTGGGCTGCTGGAACACTGCCCAGCTCCCTGTGTGGGTTCCCAGTGGAACACACCAGCCTGGGGGATGCTGGTGATGATTTTATTCTATCAAAACTCCTTTAGCAACTGCAGTTTGGTGGATGTGACACACACCAAGCGTGTGGCCTTCCAGAGAGGCAATAAAATACACACTCACCTGAAATAGAGCAGCAAAAGGGCTCTTAATGTTGCTAAAGGATCCCACTGCTCTTACAGAGCTTTGTTCCAAGAGGAAAACACAGAGTTAGGGCTCTCTAAACCAATTCCTGCACAGGGCAGACCCTGGGAGTGGATTCAGGTACAGAGACAACACAACCTTGGCATCACCTGCCAAACACCCTCCTTTCCCATTCCAAGGCCAGAGCCTTTTCCTCAGCTTCTCTCTGGCATTTGTTTTTACCTGAAGCCCCTGGCAGAAGCAGGACCCCGTGTGTGCAGCTTTGCAGGAGGAGGCTGCAGCAGGATGCTCTGAGGCTCAGCTCCCAGTGCCAGCCCCCCTCTGGTCCTGGTGGAGTGACCAGGTGCTTTTATCTGCCTCTTCCCCATGGTTATGGAGGTTCCTTCTCCAAGCTGATCCCAAATATTCATGGCAGCAGCCTGAAAAGTGCCCACTGCCTCCTCCTCCTCCTGTCTGCAGCACCTCAGCCACCTTCACTGGATTTAAGTGCAGGATTTTATATTGCTGAGAACAGCAGTGATTCCCAGGTTTGTGCTCTTTCACAGCCACCTCTCCCCACCTGCTTCAGCCTCCCACGATATCAGAACCACCTGGATTTTAACACAGCTCCAACAACTGCCCCAAACTGGGACCTTGTTTGTGTCCCCCTTGCATCCACTGCCATGGCTTTAGGCAGGAGCTGCAGGTGTCCTGGGGACACACCTGCCACCTGTTACTCTGAGAGGTGTCTGCCCTCGAAGGTGACAACCTCAGGGTGCCAAGGGATTAATCTGATTAACAAAGAGGCAGCAGAGAGGAACTGCTCCTTAAATCAGGTGAATTACCCAGTGCCCCACCCTGGCCCTGTTAAACATCCCCAGTCGAGCCCAGCTCCATCTGCCAAGGCTCCTGGGGTGACACCAGTCTACAGGATGATCTGTCATCCTATCACATCACCCTGTCAGCTCCTGCCTCTGCACCTGACAAGACGTGCCAGACTCTCTGGAATGTCACCCTGTGCAGCCACAGCTTGGTGGGAGGGCTGGGAGAGGCAGGGGGTGAGGTCAGGGGTGCTCACCATGGATTCCCTTTGCAAAGAGACATGGAACTGGGGGGCTGCTGGCACACAGGGGTGCTCGGAATAATCCTTCCATGAGTATCTGGGCAAGGTTGGGAAAAAGGCAGAGCCAAAGATTCCTGGAAACACCTTCCCCTTCAGACTTCCTGAGCTTGTCAAGAGGTTTGTAGGGCAAACCCTCCCTGTACAAAAGCCACCTTGACTTTTCCACAGGAAATCTCATTTATCCACAGTTTCTAATCTTTAATAGTCCTTCTGCTGAGCTGTCCATCACAAACCTCAAGCAGCAGGGCCTGCAGCCTTTGCCATCCAATGCTCCAGTCCTTTTCTGAGATGACAAAGCTGAATCTCCAATCTCCTCAGGCTCTCTTGGCCCCGTGTCCTCTCCTGGATCTGCTCCTCTCCATGCTGATTCAGCTTGTTGTGGGATGCTCAGGAAGCAGCTCAGTATCAGCAAATGAGGGCCAGAGGAAGAGCAAGAAGAAAGGCTGGCACCAAAGAGCAGAGCCCCAAGCAGGAGGGCTCAGCACCAACCCACCCCCTGGAAATTGGTGTGGCAGGCAGGCCTGGAGCCATGCCCACAGCACATTCCAGCTCCTTCTGCTGTTATTTCCAACAAAACTGGA